TCTAAGGAACTTGAAGATTACAAAAAGTACATTTTACTTTAATAATTTAATTATTTCAAATAAATAAGCAAACATTTACGCTTATTAACGACGTCAACTTTTCAGAGGGATGGAATTGTGTGCAAGTTGATGGATTCAAGCTTTTTGGTGTGAATTTGATGTCACTCTTCTTAAAATAATGAAAAGAAGCAAGATTAGGCCAGAACCAACAAGGGACATCGTGACTTCAATAAAATTCCAAAAGTCTAGCTTGCAAGTATTCTTTGATGTAAACATCCAAGTTTAAAATTGACGAGGTGACGTCAATTTTAAACTTGGATGCTTACATCAAAGAATAGTTACATCAAAGCTCGAGATTTCAAACCGCAGCTGCATATTGCTTGCTAAATTTTAATCTTTAAAAAACTCTGAAACTTTATATCCTTTGGCTCGTACTGTGTTCGATAAGCCAAGGTTTTGCGTGAATGATCGTCGATTACTAATTGCGGTTTTCTTATCCTTAAAGCTACTCTTTCACCCAGATCCTTTTGCTTGCTTGATAGATAGAGAGCTCTTGTATTGTTTTATGACAATGCAAAAAGTAGTTTTGTTAGATTCAGATGCCTTAGCAATTGAAATTACCGATGTAGAAGGGCTTTGTAAATAGTTTTAACTTGACTTTGTAATAATTTGAAAGATACCAATAACCTTTGATCATTAAATCGCGCATTAAATATTTAACAGCATAGTATCAGTATAAAAATATAATATAAAGCAATATGTGCATCACTGTAATGTTTCTATTTATAATTTACTTTTTTTTTTAATAAAGAATATTAAGAAATTTTATTACAGGATTTTGTTGAGCACAAAATCGTTAAAATATTCATTTTTATTAAGTTTTGGCATAACCGTAACTGTTAGAAAAAAATATTTCCAAAAAATAGAAGTTCAATAGATAATGCATTCAACAAATTAGTTTAACAATAAATGAATAAAGTTTGTCAACAGTAAAAAAATAAACATACATTCTATTCCGTTAAAAAAAAACACGAGAAAAATTGAGCCGAGAGCCGCTCAATTTTTGCGGCTCCGGCTCCACCAAAAAACCTCCGACTCCCCGGCTCCAAGGCTCCGGCTCCGGCTCGGCTCCACAAGCCTGCACTATATACTTTGACAGTATTTATATATCCTTGATCATCATTTATCACGGAGAGAATTGTTTGTTGCAAGGCAAATTCACTCCATGTCTGCAGATTTGATGTTCGTTTATGATTTCTTATATTGTTTATCTTGAAAAACAATTACTATTTGTATAAAACCTTTTTACCAAAAAGTACAAAAGTAATCTACACTGTTTAAAAGTTCACCGTAGATTCAACGTGGAATGTTCGACAGCAAAGTGACAACACTTTCTCCCTAAAAATCAACGGTTTCTGTAGTTTTTATTTTCCGTAAAAATCAACGGAAAAAGTCCGTTAAATAAGATACAGAACTTTCTCCATAAAATTCAAGGTTTCTACATTTCATTTTTCCCTTTCAAATTAATGGAAAAATTCCGTTAATTCAGCAAATATACAGTTACTAAAACTCATTTTCCAGAGTTTACCCGAAAGTCAAAAATAAATAAATAGAATTTATAAATTATTATAAAAATGTAATTTGACTATTACAGGGTGTCTGCTAATATTTTAAGGTAGATTTCCCTGATTTTTTCCTGATCCACTACCTGCTTTCCATAATTTAATTTAAAGTTACCCAAAAATAACTTCAGAAATAATAGACTTTGATGCTTTCTGAAAAATGCTCTTCAATTGCAAAATATAAACATTTATACAATTCACACTTAAAGTATCAAGAGAAAACTTTCTGCTAAATAAAATTTTAATTACATGTATAATATACAACCTACTTTTGTAAGTTATGTAAGTTTGAGGAAGAGCTATTTTCCCTGATTTCTCTTGATTTTTATTAAAATTTAACTTAATTTCCCTAATTATTCCCTAATTTTTTGCCTGTTTTCCCTGATCTGGCAGACACCCTGTGTTAAGAAACTGCTCATATTTTAAATGAATAAAAATTATAATATAATACACATCAAACACAACATAAAAAAACTCAGTTATTTTGATTACTTTAGCCACTTACAAAACATTTAAGAAAATCAATTTTAATTATGTAGATTAAATGAAAAACGTACTAAGTCTAAAATATATCAATTTATGTTGATGCACAACTACGAGTAGCTCAGTTTTTACTAATTTTCTTAAATTCAATTCACTTGGACTATTTCATATGTTGATGAAATAATTATTATAGTAATAATGATTATAATAAATATAAATAAATTATATTATATTATAATAGTTATTTTATATATTATATAATATTTATGATAACAAATAGTATTTTACTATGACAAATTGTACAATATTATAATAGTTATTATATATATTATATTATAATAGTTATAATAAATATAAACAAAACATCTTTTGATCTCTTGATGTTCTGTCCATTCAAAAAGCGCTAGTTCGTTTATAAAACTCAAAGTGGGTAAGGTCCAATATGATGTTTTTTACCAGTTTTTCTTTATTTAATTTCCTTTTTCATGACTCATTATTGCGATATACTTCTACATAATAATTAGATCAGATTAATAAATCATTATTTACAGTAAAAAAAAAAAGAAAAGATAATGTTGAAAACAATTAAAAGTATATGTAGAGCAAGCATTCAGAGCGTACTGGATTTTCGGATTTTTATAGATTTATAAACAAGTATCAAAAATGATTATCATTGTACTTTCGTGTTTTTGCAAAAGAGAGCACTTTTGTGGATTAAATTCGTGATTTCAGCTGGCAGCTTTTCCAGGGAACTTTGAAAACATCTGTTAAATTGTCTAACATAACACTGAAAGATTCAGATGTAGGTACATTTAAAAATTAGGGTTGGGTTGAAACTGAAACCAAAGCATGAACTTGAGAAATACTTTCAATAATAGTATTTCATTTTAAAAGTTACAACCAAAATTAATCAATATAAGTATAAATAAATAATTAAATAATAATTTAACAATAATAAAATCAAAATTTCTATTCTACAGATAACTTTGAAAAAAACCACAATTTTAAATAATTTAAATAGATAACGATCAGATAACGAGAATAATAACTGAGAGAGTTTTTTTAAAAAGGCTACACTACAAAAAAGTAAATATAAAATACATCTAACATACTATTTTATTCAATATATACCTTTTTTCCATGCGTTTATTCTCCATGAAGTTTATCCTCTTCCAGCTAATTGCCATATAGAGGCCACATTTCAAGGCCCACGAAGACCAATTCAGCTCACTAAAGAGCATCATAACCCCTATGCAGACCGAGAGTAAGTGATTTTTAGAAGAATGAAGGATGTTAGAGAGAAAGTTAAAATTCGAGTTAGAAAGTTGGCACAGACACAACGGACAGTATTGCACACACACACATACACACAGAAACATATATCTATATACACTACTGTCCATAATTATTCGAATGACCGTACTTTTTGATGTAAGATATCAAAGTTACGCCACAGATGTAGATTTCTTCGGGACGGCCCTATATATATATATATATATATATATATATATATATATATATATATATATATATATATATGTATACATATATATATATATATACATATATATATATATATATATATATATATATATATATATATATATATATATATATGTATACATATATATATATATATATATATATATATATATATATATATGTATATATATATATATATATATATATATATATATATATATATATGTATACATATGTATATATATATATATATTATATATATATGCATATATATATATATGCATGCATATATATATATAAATATATATGCATATATATATGCATATATATATATGCATGTATATATATATGCATATATATTTATATATATATATGCATGCATACATATATGTATATATATATATATATATATATATATATATAGGGTAGATTAAGGTAATATGTGCACCCTAAGCGAAAATGGGAATATTATATATATATATATATATATATATATATACATATATATATATATATATATATATATATATATATATATATATATATATATATATATATATATATATATATATATATATATATATATATATATATATATATATATATATATATATATATATATATGTATATATATATATATATATGCTTATGTGCTTGTCCATAGAGAGCTTTGAATCTAGGGTGACTCCAAGGGTTTTTACTGAATTTATTGTAGTTATTGTGGTTCCAGAAAATGCAATATTCGAATCATTTTTATATTTGCTAGTTTGTTTTCTAGATCCAAATAAAATAGCTTCTGTTTTATAAGGATTAAGCAGAAGTCCATTTTCTAGAAACCATGTTGTTACTGGATTAACACACTCAGTGATTTTGTTGATGCTATCTTTGCCAGGGCTGAGGAAAGTATAAAGTTGGGTATCATCAACATATTGATGATGATTTGTACCAAACTTAGCTATAATATGATATATAGGTGAAATAAACACGGAGAATAGAAATGGGCCTAATACACTACCCTGTGGTACTCATGTTGAACTTGCTATTAGTCTAGAATTTGATGATCCAATAGAAACAAAATATTTTCGAGAGTGCAAATATGATGTTAGCCATTTTAATGCAATATCTGTGACACCAAATTTATTCTTAATACAGGTAATCAGCAGGCTGTGATCGATTGTATCAAATGCTGAAGATATGTTCAGAGATAGGAGAATAGTGGTCAAACATCATCAATGTTTAGCAGGATGTCATTGCATATTTTTAAGAGTGCTGTTTCGGTTGAGTGATAAGATCTAAAACCAGATTGTAAAGGATTGAATTTGACAGATGATGTTACGCGTGGATGAAGACGAGATAAAGCAAGCTTTTCAATAATTTTCGAAATTGTATTGAGATTTGATAGGTCAAATTCTGCTAGTCTTGATTTTTTGGGAGTTGGTGTATTTGAGCAACTTTATATGAGGCTGGGAAAATTCCGGATTTGAATGAGAGGTCAGCAAGGTGAGCTATAATTGGACTGAATATTTCTGAACAAGATTTAAGGATGTTTGTAGGAATAATATCAAGTGGCGATGTCTTAGGTTTGAGAGTTTTGATTATTTTTGACACATCTGTAGGTGTGACTGTACCAAATGTTGTTAATATATCTACAGGTGGAGATAACTCTGAGATAAATTTAGATATCGGGGTTTTTTTAAGCCTTTCCTGGATAGGGTTCTTTATAATTTCGAGTTTGCGTATGAAATATTGACTTATTATATCGCATTTTGCTTCTGGTATTGTGTTATTAGATTTAGAACTTTTTGAATGTAGTAATTTCTTGACATAGTTCCATGTTTCTTTTTGATCACCGTATGCTGAATTTATTTTCGCCTTATAATGACTACATCTGGATTTGTGAATTGCTGCTGCAGCCTCACGGCATGCAGTTCGATATAATTTTTTATCTGATAAACTACCAGTTTTTCTATAACAACGCTCCAGTTTACGACGTCTGATTTTTTTATTCTTGGCATCTAAAGATAACCATTTATCATCTTGTTTACCAATTCGTATTGAATATTTTCGAATGGGTGCTAAATGATCAAGAACAGTTGTTTTACTTGATATTATTTGTTCAGCATAATTATCCACGTTGTTTTCAGGTGATAAGCAACATGGCATCACTTGCAATTCTTTGATAAAGTATGACAAGTTTAGTTTTCTAAAGTTTCGTTTTGAAAACCAAACAGTTTTAGTATTTAAAGGTTGATGATAAAGTTCTACCCGAATCATACAGTGATCTGAAATACCCTCGTCAGTTACTTGGATACTTTTGAGTGAAATATCATCATGTCGATTTATTACAAGATCAAGCAAGTTGGCTATACCAGTAGTAGATGATATGCGAGTTGGAGATTGAACTCGCTGTATCATGTCGTAGGTCTCTAAAATCTCATTAAGTCTTGAATTGCAGGTTATTGGAGTAGTACCTGGGCAGTTAAAGTCACCACACAGAAGCATTTCTCCAGATAATGTTTAAAGTTCCTCTAGGAGTTCAGATAATTCGAAAAAGAAAATGTTTGTTGGAATGATTGGATTTGATCGATAAATAGCAACAACAATGTAGATAGTATTTGCCAGATTTAGTTTAGCTGATGTACGTTCATAAGACCGACAAACTTGATCTTTATATATATATATATATATATATATATATATATATATATATATATATATATATATATATATATATATATATATATATATATATATATATATATATACATATATATATATATATATATATATATATATATATATATATATATATATATATATATATATATATATATATATATATATATATATATAAGTAGTTTAGTACTTATATATATATATAGTATAGTACTTATATATATATAGTATAGTACTTATATATATATATATTTAGTACTTATATATATATATAGTATAGTACTTATATATATATAGTATAGTACTTATATATATATATATATTTAGTACTTATATATATATATAGTATAGTACTTATATATATATATATATATATATATATATATATATATATAAGTAGTAGCAAAAAGTAAACTTATGGGTAAAACATTGCGTTGATAATATTTCAAAAAACCAATTGGTGTTTTAAAATACAAGATGCAAATATAGTTTCGTTTTCAACCAATTTTAAGATTTTTTGTTGGGTTGTTATATGAAAACTTATCTTGCCCCATTCGCCATGTTGCCCCGCTTTCCCCTATATATATATATATATATATATATATATATATATATATATATATATATATATATATATATATATATATATAGGGGAAGTAGTTTTTTGCTATTTGTGTTTATTTTGTGTTATTTTAGTTAGAATTTTTGGTAGTTTTTTAAATTTTATAAAATTGGAGGTAAAAATTGCATAATAAGTCATCTTGCCCCCGTCACGTGATCAGATAACAAATTTATGAACTTTTTATTTTAATATTTATTTCAAATTGTTATATTTGCAAACTGAAAATTCATGCAGGCAATGAAGGATTTTGATAACATAAACATACTGAGAAAGTATTATTGCTTCACGGCTGATAGATTTGCAATAACTCAGGGCTTTCAAAACGTTCGCCATGTTGCCCCGCATTCCCCTATATATATATATATATATATAATATATATATATATATATATATATATATATATATATATATATATATATATATATATATATATACAACAAATAACAAATCAAAAAACATATTAGTCTCCACATGTTATAGACCACCTGATGGTGATATAACAAAATTTTCTAATCATTTAAAACAACTTTGTTATAAAAATAACAATGAACAAAAAAAACTATTTTGTATTGGAGACATTAACATTGATTGCTTACAATACGATAAACACACCAAAACTAAATTTTTTTTTGACGAAATGCTCCAACATTACATCTTCCCAATTATTAATAAGCCGACTCGGGTAACTCAATCATCAGTAACGTCAATAGACAATATATTAACAAATACAGTTCTTGATGTTACTTTAAAAGCAGGTATTATAAAAACAGATATATCGGATCATTTTCCGATTTTCTTTTCTCTGTCACACGATACAAAAACTACTAACGACTGTAAAATTGAAATTCATAAAAGGAAAATTAACAAATATGCTATTCAACAATTTAAAGAATCACTATCGGCAATAAATTGGGATAAAGTATACCAAGAATGTAACCTTGGACGCACCAACTCTGCTTACACTAATTTTGAAAACATTTACTTAAAAAATTATAATAAATATTTCCCAATAAAAGTAATGCTAGTAAAAAAAAAACATCTAAAATGTCCGTGGATCACCAAAGGAATTAAAAAATCTTCAAAAAAAAAAAAAAAACTTTATATCAAATACTTAAAAAATAAAAATGAAGCAAACCTAAATGCTTACAAGCAATATAAAAATTTGTTTGAAAAAATCAAAAAGATTTCAAAAAAGAATTATTACTCAAATAAAATAAAAAACTCCAAAGGTGATATTAAAAAAACGTGAGACGTAATTAAAGAAATAATTGGGAACAAAAATTGCAAACCAAATAATTTACTTACTAAAGTTGTTATAAATAATGAAGAGTATGTCAGTAGTGACGTAATCTCAGAAAAGTTTAACAATTTTTTCGTTAACATAGGCCCTAACCTGGCTACAAAAATTAATTGTCCAAACAACTCATTTGAGACATACTTAACTAATAACAACAACGAATTAGCATTTAGCGAACTAAAAATTAAAGAACTTGAAGTTGCGATAAAATCTCTTAAAATAAATAAATCTCCAGGTATAGATGATATTTGTAGCAACATCGTTATCGATGTCTTTTTGGAGATACGCAAACCGATCTTCGAAATATTTAATTCATCAATTAAAACAGGTACTGTACCAGATAAATTGAAAACAGCTAAAATTATACCAATTTTTAAAACAGGCGAAACATCTTTATTAAATAATTACAGACCGATCTCTATACTGCCTACTTTCTCTAAAATACTTGAAAGAATAGTTTACAATAGATTATACGAATATCTCCTTCAAAATAACCTCTTAAACAAAAAACAATTCGGGTTTCAAACAAAACACTCAACCGAGCATGCCATTTTAGATCTTGTAAATAGCATGAGTAATTCTTTCGATAAAAAGCAATTTGTATTAGGGACTTTTATAGATTTATCTAAAGCGTTCGACACAGTTAATCACAATATCTTACTTAAAAAATTGGAAAGATATGGTGTTAAAAATATATCCCTTGACTGGTTCAAAAGTTACCTGAGTAGCAGAAAACAATGCGTTGTTACAGATCATAATAACTTTTCAGACCTACTAAAAATAAAATGCGGAGTTCCCCAAGGTTCCATTCTGGGTCCCCTTTTATTTCTTATATATATCAACGATCTTCCAAAAGCCCTAAAAAAACTTGATGTAATAATGTTCGCTGATGATACAAATTTATTTTACTCATCGCCGTCTATAAGCGACCTTTACGAATCTATGAACACTGACCTCGAAAACCTCAACCTCTGGTTTAAAGTTAATAAATTATCTTTGAATACAGATAAAACAAAATATATCTTGTTTCACTCCAACCGTCTTAAAAACTTTATACCAGACACTCTACCTTCACTAAAAATTGATAACATAAACATCAAAAGAACTGAAATAACTAAGTTTCTTGGAATAATTATTGACCAGAATATTAATTGGAAAGCTCATATTAATATAATAAATACAAAAATATCAAAAAGTATCGGCGTACTCTACAAAGCCAAACCTATGCTTTCCCAAGACAGCTTAAAAATTCTCTTCTTTTCTTATATTCAAAGTTACCTAATATACGCTAATATTGCATGGGGAAGTACCCATAAAACTAAATTAAATTCACTCTACATACACCAGAAACATGCATTGAGATTAATTTATAATAAAGATAAATTCACTCATGCCGACCCTTTACTTAAAAATTTGAATGCATTAAATATCTATCAAATAAATATTTACCAAAATATCTTATTCATGCTAAAATACAAACTCGGACTTGTTCCGAAATACTTTACTGACTTCATCTTTTACACAACTTCATCGAAATGTATTAAACAATTTGTGAAAAATAGTAACAATAAAAAGCCCTACTACTTCTACTATATAGTAGATACCAAAATACTTAAGTGTATTTGTTGAACTAGTTCATTAAAGTTTATTTTATGTTTTAAAGGTTCTCGATGAAAAGACTATTTTAGTCTTCTGCGAGTTTCCTTACAACAAAGTAATTTTTTAAGAATAATTTTATATATATATATTCAACAACGTCCACAAGCAAGTCCCTAGTAGCCCTGTGGTACGACGGACTTTCATATATTTTTTAAATGCATGGGTTTAATAGCCAGCACTTTATATTATAAACAACGAATAGTTACCTTATATACTGTACAACGCGCATGCGCTAAACAGAATTTTGAATTTCTTTTGTCTTGTAAAAATTTTAATGGTACAAAAATTGTTTAATTGTACGTTTTGTACTTATATGTAAAAATATGTAATTTTGTTTTATTGAAATATATACGGATACTTTTTATATAAACTTTATATATATATATTTATATATATGTTTATATATGTCCTTAAATAAAGTCAAAAATAAATGTTTAAATGCATTGTTTTTCAAACAAAAATGAAACAGATTTCTAGCTAACATATTTTTCTTTATGAAAAATAAAATTTCATTTATTTAGCACTAAAATTTTGCACCACAGATTTATTCATAGGTGATGATATTATTTTAACAAAGCAAAGCGTTTTAATTAAATGTTAGCCGCTAATTATTGCATATAAATTTAGACAATCATAAACGCAAGATAATTTGGTATAATCCTCCTTTCAGTGCGAATGTTTTAACAAAAATAGGTAAATGTTTTTTGAACCTCATTGACCTCCACTTTTCAGTTAACCACAGACTTCGTAAAATATTTAATAGAAACACAATCAAAATAAGTTATTCCTGCATGCCAAACATAAAATCCATTATCAACTCTCACAATAAAAGCATACTACATAAGAAGGCAAAAACTAATGAAATGAAATGCAACTGCATTTACAAATCCAAATGTCCAATGAACAACCATTGCTTTCCAACAACATTTTTTATCAGGCCACTATCTATTCAAACAATCCGGAATATAAAGAAAAAGTGTATTTTGGACTCAGCGAAACCTCTTTTAAAGTTCGGTATGTAAACCACTTAAAATCGTTTAATGTAATTAGATATAAGAATGATACAGAGTTATCAAAAAAAGTATGGAAATTAAAAGAAAAAATCTTTACACCTTTTTTTAGGTGGAAGATAGTTAAACAATGCAATCATACTAGCCAGCATCACAAGTTTGCAACCTCTGTTTGAACGAGAAGTTTAAAATTTTGATGTATAAAAGAGATAACCTATTTAATACAAGGAGTAAAAT